TGACGATCATGGCTCTCCACTATTTCTCATCCTTTGTAACATTTATCATTTTGCTGTCTCTCCCAAAACCTGCTTTGCCATCCAATTGCTCAGGCTAGCCAGATAGTTTGTGCATTACTTTCTCTGGCCCACTTACCTTCGATCTGTCCTGTGAGTATCAGATTTTCTAAGCCCTCTTTCCTTATGTGCCCTAGAAATTTCAACTATCTTTTCTTGATATTAAGTATAAGTTTCCTATTTGTTTCCATTTTCTCTAAAACTTTTTTGTTGCTCACATGTTTGGTTTATTACATCCTTATCATCCTTCTGTAGAAGCACATTACTGCTTCTTCAAGTCTCTTCACAAGGATTAATTAATTTGGTTGCCCAAAGTTGTTCATTTTTAATTCATTTAGAAAGTACTTGATTGCATTGTGCTAATCTTTTTATCTTTTGACTTAATATCTTATTAATCCTCAACATCCTTCTGTAGGACTGCATTTCTGTTGCTTCAAAATCTTGACTTCAACTTAGAGAGGAGCTTCCAGCATTCAGAACCATGTAGAATGACTGATATTACATAATAGTTCAGTCCTCTTTTCTTTGTTTCTAATGTTAATACTTTGCTTAGCTTTTGGAAGGCACCTTTTGCTATCCCAATGTGCCTTCGGATTTCTGTGTCACACTTTCCATCCTCTGTTAAAAATACTTCCCAGATATTTAAATTGTTTTACTTGTTTAATTTTGGTATCTTTAATTTGTAATTTGTGTTCATCTTTTTGCTAACAATCATGCATCCTGTCTTCTTGCCATTGATGGTCAGTCCTTCCTTCTTGCTTTTCTTCACTATCTTCTGTAGGATCTTTTGTAGTTTTCTTTCCGTATCTGCTATCAACACTGTGTCATCTGCATATCTCATTGTTAAGATTGTGGCCACCAATAATGAACCCTTGTAGGACTTCTAATTCTCTCAGAATCACCTCACTGTAGTGTCTGTGAGTAGGTTACCAAGCATAAATAAATGCTATCATATCGAAGGTGAAATTTCAGTTGACAAATGACAGAATAAAGTTTTCAAAGGTCTTTTTTTTTCTCCTTTGACTTTACTTTTACTATTGAACCATTTATGGAAAAAAAATAGGAGTCATTACTTTCAGAGTATTTTCGCATTAAGTTGATTCTAAAGTTTCCAACATTTCCTTAACAGAATCTTTTATTTATATAAATTTTTGATAGTATGCTTACTCATATGATCGTCGAAGTTAAACAATGTCAAGCCTGGTCAGTACTTAGATGGGTAACCACTTAGGAATACCAAGTGCTGTAATCTTGGATGTGCAGGTGATGTAATGGATAACGGCTCAGAATTGGAAGTCAGAGAGTCAAGTTTCTAATTCCAGCCGAATTTGTTATATTCACTAATATCTCGGTAAAATTATGAATTCACCTCTTTTCCCCACTATGAGTTAATTAGTAAGACTTGTATCAGTAAATAGTTATTATCTCCTCAAAATTCTTACAAAAAATAAGTGTTTGCTGGCTTTAAATAACCTGCAAAAGGTTGATAAGCCATAGAAAACAAATCCATGAACTGTATTTTCCCCTCAGCCAAATTCTATATTTCATTCAAAAAGAACAATTCCAGTTTCGATTCACTTGTTTGAAACCTGTTTTAACTCCTTAAACATTTAGTGGATTTGCAATAAAAAGTTCTTTGAAGGACATGAAGGTAGTGTATTGGTTATCAGTACAGAATATGGCATCTGCAAACTGGGTTCAAATTTCAGGCTAGTTTGTTGCATTCACTTTTGCACAAAGGAAAGGTCTGAATCAATATCTTCTTGCACCAGCTATGGGTTAAATAGCAGAGAAGACTAAGCTTTCTAGCCTTGGATGGCAACCAGTCTAAGAAAAGAAAAACCATGAATAAGGCAACAGGAAACAATTCCACTGTCTTTCCCAGGAATGCATGTGCATTGCAGTTCACAGATATAGAATAGGCATGTACAGAGTCCTGATCACCTACACCCTGAAAGAATATGACATTAAAAAAATCCTTCAAGTTCAAATGTTAAAGGCTGTCTTAAATCAAGTTAGGATTTTCTTCATTTTTTTTTCAATCCTAGTGACTGTTTTTACCAAAAATAACTTTTTCCTGTATCAGATGAGAAAAGAATGACAAATATTAACTGCAGCTCGTTTTTGAAAGGTTATAAGAAAACAATTTTCATGGCTTCAGAATTTTTCCTAAGTCTTGCAAATAACAATGTAACTGATTACACAAGCAATAAATAAATGAAAAAAATTGAGTAAATTTCAAAGCCACTTCTGTGATTTCCCTAATGATTTTCCAAATGTTTGTTATAAAGTCTTTGTTAGTCCAGTCACCTCCAAAAATGCTCAAGGGTATTTCTTTCACAACATGGTGCTTATCTTTCAAATTCTGGCCTCAGAAAGAAACATTAGAATTTATTTTTCCCATTATATTTAATTTTGTCCCCAATGCACCTTACTCATTTTTTTCAATTTTGGGGGCACCAATATCCTTCCCTATTTTTTCACTTATAACCGTTATCTTGGAACCCGTATGTAATTATAGTTTTAGAAGTCTTCTGTTCATTTTTACTTTTATATACATTTTCAATTAACCACAGACTGTCCTTGTGTTGTCAGAATAACCTTAACATAATTAGGTTTTTTATTTATTTATTTATTTTGTTCTCTGTACATATTTTGAATGTGTCATGTCTTTTGACAACAAAAACATTTGGAATTTTTAAATGGGCATTTGTCTTTAAAATCTCTGGCCCCACAATTGTGACATGGGTCAGGTCTTTTACCTTTTGACTTTTTCTTTCTCGTTTAACAGTCTGAATGTCTACCTATTTGCCTTCAATTTTGTCAGTATCATGCTAAAGATCTAATATCTTTCAGCATTCTTTCACAAAACTTTGCAATGTTAATTTATGGTTTTGTTCTAACTTTGAAAGAATATTGAAAGGCATTTAAGAATCCTTGCTAGAAGTCAACCCTTTTACAAAAATTAGACATTTAAACCACAGGGAATATTTCAGGGAATTTAAATTTTTCAAATTCCCTGTTTTTAGAAAGTATATTTACCATCAAGTCAAAATTGATGTCTAACAGATTATCAGTAAAATGTAATTAGAGAAATTTTTATGCTCTGCAAGTCCCAGTTTCCTTAAAAGCAGTTGTTCCCTTTTTCTAGTCTGGCCAGGCTTGACAGTCTTCTTTGAAGATTCCTTGAAGAATTGACCTTCAGGCCTATAGATGAACTCTCCTATTGAATTTGCTACAGTGTCTCGAGTAAATGAGACATTCATTCCTTTTTCATTTATCTTTTGTACGAGTAACAATATCATTTGTGTTTGTTGGTCTTGCAATCGTTATTGCTTTTGTGTTGGTCATTGTTGCACTTGCAGTTGTCATTGTGGCTGTAGGATTACTGTCTTTAAATCTTCCATTTTGGTGTGAATTCAAAGTCACCACTGTTATAATTTTGTCTTTGTTCAAAAATAGCCACAAATTCAGAAGGTCGTAGTTAAAGTATCAACAGAACAGAAGACTAGGTAGAGGAAACAAAGAGGTTTATTAAATACTCATACATAGAACGGAAAAACTTGAGTAAATCAACTACACCTCAAATCCTACTCTAATGTGGCTACTTGACATATTTATAAGTAGGAGCAGTTCATTGTCACAGTAGTAGGGAAGGGCAGGAAGTACACTGAGTGCTACTCTATAACAATGATGATGCTGAAAAATTTTGCATCAACCAAATAATTAAGTTTCTTTAACTGAATAATACTTTTCAGATTGTATCAAGTAAAGCTTTACATTTGCATCAACATTATTGAATGTGTTTTGATTTTTTCTTTGGCCATGATATTTTAACTACTTGCTGTCAAGAAGGTTAGAAATATACACAAATATATACACATTATTAGCCAATTGATATTTTATACATATATATATATATATATATATATATATATATCACTACAAACTGATACAATTAAAATTAAAATTCATAGGTTAAAATGGTCATTAACTAAAAGTATCTTAACTCCAATTGTAAAGAAAATTTTGCTCTGTTTAATGAAAATAAACAGTGAGCGCTCTTTTGTGAGTCAGTTTTAACATATTTCAAATTCTATATTGTGTTACTAGGACTCGCCTAGATTATACAATCGGATTACTACCTCTGTGTGTGTGTGTGTGTATATATTATGAAATGGACAAAGACTGACAATTATTTTGATTTTGCCACGAAGGAGCGTTCGGTTAGCAAGGTCGAATTTACCGAACACTCCTCTGTGGCCAAATTGGTAAAGGCACGTCAAGCTAAATGACAGTTCCATATAGGATACAGGTTCGAATCCTGTCGGAGGACGAATATTTTCTGGGAAAATTTCTTGGACATTCAGGCCTGTAAATGTTGTTTAATACTGTTTATTATAAACAGAGCATTTACTTAAATATTTGTATCTATAAAAAGAATGTATAAACATAAAAATGTCTTAAAATATATATATATATATATATATATGGATATTTAAATTGTGAATTCTTGTGTTGATGGCAGACACAGATAGGAAACAACAGGACCTCTGAGACAAGTTAGTAAAGGAAAATGAGAAGAAAGGACTAACCATCCATTGTAAGAAGATACAATGTACAGTTGTCAGCAAGAGAGAATGCCCAAGATCAAGCTACGAATTGTCACAATCAAACAAGTACACAAATTTAAATATTTGGGTAATGTTTTAACAGATGACAGAAAATGTAACACCAAATTTCAAAGATGCATTGGAATAGCAAAAGGTGCTTTCTGAAAGCTAAGCAAAACATTAAGAAAGAAGAAAATATTGTTAAAATAAATAATGACTTATAATGAACAAATATTGACACAAAATTTGGGAAATACAACACAGACAATAACTTTTTCATTCCTTTTATGTTTATTTGTTTTAATTTTTTCTTTATTTTTTATTTTGCAGCTAATTTCCCGAGATGGTGAAATTGCTCGTCTGCGTTCACTCCTTGAGAAAAGTGAAGCTACGCACCAGAATCTGGAATATGAATTGCTACGGGCCCGTCAAGACCTGAAGCAGATCTCGGAAAGATTTTCAGAATGCAAAATAGCACTGGAAGCTGAGAATCAGAAATTGAAAGGTAAACACACTTAATTGCTCTTCCATGTCTGATAATTTGACGTCGATCATTGAATTAAATCCTTGTTGGGAAAAAACTGCCCTTGGCCAGAACTGCCTACAGTTTTTACTTCAAGGATAATTTCTTAATATAAGTCTTTTAATACATTTGTTACACTGTACATACAGTGTACACAAGCCATGAAAAATATGAAATTCGTATTTGGTTAAGATTTTACTCTTATATATAAGAGTCATTAAATATATATTTTTCTCATCACTTAATTATTTTGTTGTCAATTCTGGAGAGAAAAATGTATCAACAGAGTGTCATATTATCAAGATTCTAAAAGATTTTTAAAACAATAAATATTGCCAAGGGAGTATACAGTAATAAATGTTATTACCCCTTTTCATACTCCTTTTTTTTTTAAGGTACATTTGTTAAAATTTGCCAGATTTTTTTTTCTATTGTGTCATTTGACTACTCACTATATTTTTATGTGCTATATCCCTTCAGAACATAAACAGTCGTGACTCTCCACAATTTCCTGTTTTTGTTGCTCTGAGTAACTTTTAACTCTTTACTACCCTCTTTGTCACACTTCTGTCATCCATTCACACAAAATCATTAATTAGGTTACTTGCTGTTCCCATCTGCTTTATGTCTTGTGAGTTTTAGATTCTCCAAGCTCTCTTTCCTCATTTTGTCACCTAGAAATTTCATCAGTCTCTTTCTGATCGTCTGCTTCCTTGTTTTTATTTTCTTTAACACTTCCTCATTGCTTACATGTTCTGATTATTGCAATCTTCATTGTTATTGTTTCTGTCGTCATCAGCACCCACTCACATCCAAGCATTGGAATCATCATCCTCTCTGTTCCCTTTCTCTCCCCTGGTGGCAGTGGCAGAGATGTCTGTGAATCAAAGAGAGTTTGATGAAGCCATTTGATTGTGGCGGATGCTGTCGGATGCTTGGTCTATTAAAGTCTGATTTGGTTACACCAGCCCAACTGGCACTGCCCTCATCTACCAGTGAGATCATGTAGATCTTTGCCTATTCCACCATTGGGGTCTTTGGTGATTGGTCGCATTCAATCTGGTCCTTCCTCTTCAGCTTTACCGCCATGGGTGGCACTACAGGAGTTGAAACTCCAGACAGATTCATTCTTGGGATCACTGGGACAAGTAAGCCCTCTACCATGACAAGGAACGACCATATATATTTTTACACTGGATGTCGGGGTGAACAGTTCATTTTCAGTTGTCATTAAAGTAATAATAAGTCATTTTTAGTATTCGTTAATAGAACTGCATCTCTGTCACTTCAAATCTCTTCATTCACTGTCATATAGGAAATTGCTAAATAGCAATTCTGTAGTCTTTTTTTTTTTTTTTTCTAACAAAATTTTCCTATCTCTTAATCCTTTGCTTAGTTTCAGAAAAGAATATCTTCTGTCACATGTAAAACCTGTTCATGGCAAGCAGAATTTTACCCCAGCAATATTTAATCCAAAAGATTTCAATCTGTCTTGAAAATATGCCTCACAAGTTCTCAAAAAAAATACAATCTGAACAGTTTGCAGCCCAGTTCATAACCATAATGTACATGTGCTCAAACCATTCTTTGTTGACTTTAGCATTGCAAATGGCTACATCCTCCTTCTGAAATACAAAATTTCTTCCTAATGGTAAGATTAACTGTTTCCTTTATGTGGAAATATTCAATATTCTTTAACCAAACAGTTAACTGTCGGTTGAAATATATAAAACTTTTCTACTTAAGCAATTTTTCAGAAAAATAGGTTTTGCAACTTCACTATTATCACTATTTCTAGTAATGATAGGAGTTCTGTTTCTAAGCTTTTGTTTGAAGAAGTGTAGAAGGTCAATATCTTGATTATCCATTATTTTCTTCTCAAGTTACATGTGCCATCCATTTTAGTTGTTGCTGTTGTTGAAAGTTCTCAAGTGATGCAATTTCTATTATTTAATAAAGTTTTTTGTTTAGATTCTGTAGTGTCAGCCTATGAACTCTAATGAAGGACGATCCTCTCTAAAACCTACAGGATTCATTTGCTCAAAGCCATTTTTAATCATTGATCTTAGAAAACAGTTGTATACAGATGTCAGTTTAGATATTTCTGAACAAGTTGGATGCTATGCATGACATCCATATGAAAGTCACAATCTGGTGAGATTAAAAGCTTAACTCTAGTTCTGAGGTTAATGTTTTGGTTTTGTAGCAATTTGTGGTATTGGGCGAAACTATGCCTATGTTCAATTTTCTTAACTCATACACAAAATGTTTCATAAATGATCCATACACTGAGGTACTTGAATTGTTTAGTATTTACTAATTCTAGACCTTGAATTTTTATGATGGATTCGGGGTATTTTCCATTATTGCTTTACTTTTAATTCAAAATCATAGTTCCTGTTTTTGTAAAGGTTGATCTTGAATCTCACTTCTTGGAACACGTAGTAGAAATGGTTCATTATTTTGTCCAAGATCCTTCTTATACGAACTATGAATACCTATGTCATCAGCATAGCCTAACTACTCCTGCTTATCATGAGTATACCAGGAGAAAACAAGAATGCTATTTTCTGTTAAATATTAATGGCCAATAAATGCGATAAAACTCTTCTCTGAAATCCTAAATATTTTGCCTACTTTTTATCATCATCAGTTCAGCTTTACTTTTGGCTGAAAAAGCTTCCCACACCTATACCAAAGAAAAAAAAGGTCAAAATTATTATGTGGGTATTGCACTGGGTGTCGGAAGCATCGTTACACCACACATGCCAATGACATAGAAACTCAAACTGAGTCCATGAGATAGCAAGCTTTTGATCTCCATAAAAAGCACTTGATGATTGATTTGTAATGGTTCATTTGATTCATGTCACATTAGACAATGGTTCAAATAGCAAATACCATGCGTTGTATTGTTAGGCTGTTATGATGCAGCCTTACAGCTTTTATTAATAACACCATCACAGCTCCTCTGCCAAGTGGATGTTTGGGAAAAACTTGTTCCTCTCTCTCAAGATAAGATCAACAGTATGACATTCTTCTCATCAAAATATCCGACCTTCTTTCTTTCATTGTTCATTTTCAAACTCATTTTTTTGACTCAGCCAACTTGATGTCCTTTTTTTTCTTGTGAGCCTCATACAAAACAAAAGTCTTCTATCTGAACCAAAATACAAAGTCAGCTGATTTCATTAGGAATCTGACAGATTCTTCTTTCATTGATATTAAGATTAAGATTTATTTTTTAGACAATCCCAGAGAATAATTCTTCTTTTGATTTCTCTTTAAGAAAACAAATATTGTCTGCAGCAGTCATTTTTCCTTTCTTTACCATTTCTTTTACTTCTTTTTTTCAGGAATTTTTTTTCTCTTATTTATCACAAAGCATTTTCTTTAGTGAAAGCTTTTTCTCTTTCTTTGCTACATATTTTATTTCTTTAAAGAAATGTTTTATTCCCCCCATCTTCTTCATCAACTGCTTTTTTTCATTAAAGAAAGTTTTTCCTTTTTCTCATTTTTTCAGTGTTCTTGCTTTTTTCAAACAAATTATTTTTTTTTTTGGCATGTGCTTTCTTTAATTCCTTTTTTTTTTTTAGGAATTGATTTTTATTTCTTTTTCTTTTTTTAATTTTTTTTTTTTTTTGCCATATGCTCTCTTTCATTTTGGCAAAAAAGAGAAAGAAAAATATTTCCCTGAAGAAAGAAAGAAATCACATGGTGATATCCTCATCTAGCAGGATGACAGTCTTCTGCAAACATCCTGGTCTTTTTTGATGAACAGCTTTCCTAAGTTAGTCCAGTATGTCACAATATCTGATTGGGTTAAGTGTCTGACCATTCCATATAAAAAAAGCAGCACACTATTTCATTGCTGAAACTCAGTCAGTATCAATTTCTTCACTGATTGCTGAACTTATAATTGGATGGTGGTCACTGATGATAAATACTACCAAGTCATGGAATCAGCCTTTGTCTTCAAGGCAATGGATGTAGCTAAGTCTCATCATCCATGCCAACCCTATTTTCCAGAAAATTCATGTCAGCTCCCATGTACCATTCTAAATAGCCAAAAAATGCTCATGCATTGGAATTTGTGTTCTTTCATCAACTGATTTGTATTTCAATGTTGGATTTTTGCCATTGGTGTACTAAAATCTTCCTATACTTCCTACCTGTTCATTTGTCTACTGTTTCCTGGTGACAGACATCCTTATTGTGTTGTCATTTACACATGTGTGCTGTATTGCCAACACCTCTCTTTTTATTATGTTGACAGTGTATCAAGTGTATATAGTTTAGCGAGAACAGGAGACAGTTCGGGAGCATATTTCTTAAGGACTATAACAGAATAGAAATCAAACGAGAAAGAAAGACGATATGATGAAGAAAGTGGTGATAAATAATCAAAAAGAAAAAGAAGGAAGGAAATAAGTAAAGAATGAAATCCATAAAAAAGTGTGAATGAGTAAAATGGGAATTTAATCAATCAATAATAAAGCGAATGAGATGAAGATGAATTAGACAAAAGGTGCAAGAGGATTAAAAAAAAATGGAAGAAAAGCCTCACATGAAATGAAATGAAAAATGAAGAGAGGAAAAGAAATAAAAAAGATTAAAGAATTCAAGAAGAAAGAAAAACGGAAAGAAATATATTAAAAAGTACAAGAAAAAAGAAACAGTGTAAAAAAGAGAAAAGAAATCAAAAGTAGGAAATTGTTATGAAGAAACATTTACCACATCAAATGAATTTAGAATTGGAAATTCAAATAAAGGGAGATAATAAATATCAAGAAAAGTGACAAAAGAAGACAACATATATGGCATGTTATTTAGTTAGGTTAAGGAAATTTCATTGCTTTCTTAGTGGGCTAAACAACCACTTTCTTCCCATTCTACAAATCAGTTCAGTAAAAAAAGGAGAAAAGAAATCAAAGTGAATTTTGAACAGAAGTAGAGGTTTATTTCTTGTTTCCTTTTTAGGA